GGTTTTTTTTTTTTTTTTTTTTTTTTTTTTGCTAATATGAATGTGAAATTACTATAGTGAAATCGACACTACACATACTTATATGTCCAAACCAAAAAGAAAAAAAGAAAATGTTGAAGAGAAAATTTTGTGGCAGCAGAAAATATTTAGAAGTCTTTGTCAATGTGCTATAATCATTAGGGTGCTGTCAATGTGCCACACGTTTCTATTTCCAACTTGCATCTTTTGTCGGTCGATTGCGACCATATAAGTAGACGTAGTACTTGACAAGCATAGTACTTTTTGTCATAGATTAATGTCCACTTAATAGTATACTTATCATTATCATGACCGAGTGGTTAAAATATGTTCTCAATCAAGTTAGTAATGAGATAATTACATGTAAATTAGTAGTAATATGATGATAAAAATGATACTAACAACTCTCTCTATTACAGGTTAAATAACAGTGATAGTATAAGAAATCCTAGCCTTATTTACAAGGGGAAAGTTCTCAAGATTAATATCTTCCCCTATTGTTATTATTTTCTTCATTTTTTTTCTTTTTCGTGAACAATTCACTAATAAGTCGAAAAGTGATATACAATATAGTTACCGCTTTGTAGACTTAATAATATTAACCTAAAGATTAATGCTTATGGAATGAATTTTTTTTACATATTGATTTTCATAAAGAAAATCAATGATGTATATGCATATATATCCTAGTTATAATGACTCCCTGAGATGCAAGATAGGCATGATATGAAGGAAGAAAAATTTAAGGTTATTAAATTGTAACTTTATGAGTTTTTATAATTTAAGGCATCAGTTGATGGTCATGTCATTTTTATCAGCAATTACATTTCAGAAGTAATGTTATAACTTTAGAATTATTTATCTTATAAACTTATACGAAATACAGTTGATATTGGTGGAATTTATCCGTTTCAAATTTTCACGGTATAAGATTTCCACATTAGCTGATGTTTTGAATGTTAGACTCTTTGAAATAGTCATAAAAATCTAATACTATATCCTCTTTTCTTTTTTGTTTTTTTTTTTTTTACAGAAAAAGACTGCCATCCTATCTGGGGTTCTGAATGTGGGTATTTTAGCAACAACCCTATTATATGCTCAGTTTCTTTTACATGGAGAGACGAGAATTAATGTTATTGGTTTTCTTTCCACGTGTCTAAACATCGTCATGTATAGCTCCCCTCTTGGTGTTTTGGTAAGTGCTAATTCAGTACCATCTCATGTGTGTGTGTATGAAAAAACTTTTTTTATGGTTTGGTTCCACATTAGTAGGTCCTACGCTGTACGAATATTCTGATTAGTTGAGCCAGAAAATTTGGGTCCTGGATTTATAAAGCAAAAATAAAAAGAAAAAAACTAAGTTATTTTTAATTGAAGTCACTCGTAGCACAATCTTTTTGGATGACTGATTTTGCAGACAACAGTGGTGACAACCAGAAGTGTAGAGTACATGCCATTTCTTCTCTCGTTTTTCCTTTTCTTAAATGGTGGTGTTTGGACTTTGTACGCCGTGCTTGTGGCTGACTGGTTTCTTGGAGTAAGTTTTCTGTTATCTTAATTCCTCATCAAATATCTTTTATTAGTTGCAAATCTGATGATATATTCTGGAAAATTCTCATCACATTTCCGCACGACAAGCAATTAATGTAAGCCTGTCAATAATTAAGTATTAGTAGGAAAAAAGAACCAGAGAAAATTCAAAAATGAAGGATCACATTGTGGATCGTGCGAGAAGTTTGATCAGTAATCAATAATATTTAATTAGATTGTTAGATGTAACAATGTATTAATTCATTTGACATTAGACCACTTCTAATTAAGAAAGAAGACTTTCTTTTTGGCTACCTACAAGTTTGATTTAATATAACTTTTTCTAATATTTGTAATTTAAAAGTGGTAGTCTAGTCTCATTTACACATGTATGCACGATAAGGTCTACATAACTTTTTTGAGGATATAATGCAGTATTAATTATTCACGGTTGTATTAAGTATTACAAAGTGGTACCATAAAAATAGACCATTAATAAATCATAAACGCGTTAAACCAAAATATTTGCTTCACTATTTCTCCTTTAAATTTGCATCTTTAAATATCAGTTTAACCAATTTCTTGAAACTTTTCTTATTTAAGGAAACAATTGAAATATTACTATAAAATATGTTCAATACTTTCACAGGAAGTTTCTGAATAGAAGTGTATATGAATAACCTAAGTTTAATTATACTAAATAACTATACATGATGCAAAGGTACCGAATGGGATGGGATGGTTGCTGGGAGCAGTGCAGCTGGTTATATACGCCATTTATCGGAACCCTAGTTCATCAAAAGTAGCCATCGTCGAAGATTTAGAACAAGGATCGCAGACGGAACCCCTGCTGCCACCTTCTTCAATTCAGTGAATCGTGATCGATGTTGTCATTAATTAATTTCTTCTGATGAAGCAAAACGATCAAGGACGCGACTCTACACTCGTACGTGCTGTTATGTATATGTTATTTGTTTTGGTCCTTCAATGTGTTTATTCTTTACAATTTGAATACATATAGTATTTGAGATTTCATTTTGGTGTGCTGCAAATTTTAGTGCCAACACCTGATAAAGGTTGGTATTTTTTGGGACACCATTTTCTCTTTTCTTTTCTTCTCTTTTCAATTTTTTCTGAAAAGAACATGTATTATTTTTGTTATGGCTTTCTCTCTGTCAATTGTTTCAAGAGATGGATACATTTATATAACATTCTATTGATTACATCTTCTTATAGAAATTAACATAGAATATTAAAATCACTTGATATTTCCTTTTTTAATTATCAAAAAGAAAAAAAAAAGAATATTCTTTGTTGGGATTGTGTGAACAAAGTCCCACATGGAAAGTAGAAAAGTTTAAATAAGCTACTTATAAGGAGTTTGATGTAAAAATTACATGGGTGCCCTATTTGGTCGCCCCTTTTTAACTTATACCCGTTTTGTTTTTCCGTTTGCATCCGTACCCGTTTTTTTGTTAAAAGTATTTTAAAAAGATAATTTTTTCCTTCTTTAATAAAAGACTATTGACAAACTGCAGGACGAAAACTTAACCATGTTTAGGCTGAATTTTAGCAAATAAACCAAAAAATTTCAGCTTGTTTAGACTGAAATTTCGGGTAAAACTCAGGACAAAACTATAGATTGCGTTACAAAACTTCAGCATGTTTTGGTATGAAATTTTAGCAAATGAACTAAATAACTTTAGCATGCATTAGCAAAAACTCTTTAGAAATTACATATTGTAAGACAAAAACTTAAGCATGTTTAGTCTGAAATTTTAGCAAATGAACTAAATAACTTTAGCATGCATTAGCAAAAACTCTTTAGAAATTACATATTGTAAGACAAAAACTTAAGCATGTTTAGTCTGAAATTTTAGCAAATGAACTAAATAACTTCAGCATGTTTAGTCTGAAATTTTAGCAAATGAACTAAATAACTTCAGCATGTTTAGTCTGAAATTTTAGCAAATGAACTAAATAACTTCAACATGTTTAGTCTGAAATTTTAGCAAATGAACTAAATAACTTCAACATATTTAGTCTGAAGTTTTAGCAAATGAACTAGATAACTTCGGCATGTTTAGTCTGAAGTTTTAACAAATGAACTAAATAACTTCAGCATGTTTAGACTTAAGTTTCGGATAAAATTCATGACAAAACTGTAGATTGCAGGATAAATAATTCCAGCATGCTTTAGCATAAAATTTTAGCTTCAATGTGAAACAGCTTCATGCTATATTAGCGTGAAGTTTTAGTTTCAACATGAAACAACTCCATGCTACATTAGCATGTTTTAGCTTCAAGGTGAAACAACTTATTGCAAGTGTGATTCTGAAGATGAATCTGGACAAGTTTCTGATTTTTTTATAAAGTTTCTGAGAGGAGAGGAGGAGATCGTTTTATATCTTTTGTCATGGGTGTAATTGTAATATTATTACGGATTTTTTGCGAGATGGCTACCAAATCAATAATTTTAAAAAATAGGATACGAGTTAAAAGGTGGCACAAATATAGGGTACGGTTGCAAATCCCCCGAGTTTGATACTTTTAATGGTGTGATGCCTTTTGAAAAAAATCGTGTGGGCTTGGCCCAAAGCGGATAATATCACACAATGTTAAGAGTATCTTTGACCGTTTTAACTCAACACTTTTTGCATAGTATACGTTAAGATTATACAAGAATTACAAATGAGTACTAGTATTAGTACCCGCGCGATGCGCGGATACAAATCATGTAAAATTGTGATGTAGGTTATTTGAATCATGTGCAAATAACCTTAAAATATAAACCTCTCAGATAAAAATTATATAAACATTAGATATTAATTAAGAAGCAGGATATGAATTTATTGTTCAAATTTCGTAGTGGACAACCTATTTTTTTCTATATCTGTAGCAACTTAACCCCTTGATTTTAGTACTTGCATTTCGTTTTCCTGTCAATATTAAAGAATACTACATGTCACGTTGTGACCTGTCTTGTTTGAACACATTAGATCATATTATTTTAACAAAATTCTTACTATCACTTTGTTTTTATCTGAATGTCAAATATGCCTTATTCATCACATCATTTTTACACAGATTCTTTTTTCTTTTTGTTCTTTACTTATAATTATTGTATTATTTAATATTATTATACTATTATATAATATTTTATTAGCTTAACAATTAACTTAATATTATCATTTTAATAGTTTTTAATAAATATAAATTTTTTATTCTTGAAATTTAATATATTTTTATGCTTATATCCTCTTATTTAGAATTTTTTAATCATTTAAATTTATCAACAATATTTGGAAATATATTTTAATAATTTCATTTATTTATTTTTAAATTAATTTAAAGTATAAGTACCCTTACACTACCTCTATTTATTTTATACATTGTCTTCCGTACTACAAATTTTCATTAGTTTTTATATTAATGTTTTACCTACAAACAAAATAATATAACATTTTATTTTAAATTGTAACTTTCAATTAGTCTAAAATATAATACATAAGTTATTTGATTATTATGTTCCAAATGTGTTGAGTTTTCTTATAATAATATTAGATGCAGTTAAATTTTCTTTCTTTTTTAGTTTTAAAAATACAAATTTGATTATTAATTTTCGTTAGTAAAATTAACTATATTAGAAATTTATTATGTATTTTTAAAATTTTATTTTAATCATAAAAAAATAATTTCTTAATTGTTTGAACACATTATATATAAATGTTGTAGTAATATTTTCACTGTCATTTTATTTCTTTACGTAAATTTTCTTTCTTTTTTAGTTTTAAATAAAAATTTAATTTTTAATTTTCATTAGTAAAGTTACCTATATTAAAATTTTAATTTGTATTTTTAAAATTTTATTTTTTATCAATATTTATTTTTCATAAATAAGACTACAATTTCGTGGTATTATCCATAGTTTGAGCATTCTCATCATAATTTTAAAAACTTTCTAATCACAAATTCAAATAGTCTTTCCCTTTCATTTCTAATACTTAGTAAGTTTTTAATAATATTTTTTAATTTTGCTATTTTTTTAATCTAATATATAGTCTTATTACATTTTATGTGGTTTTTAATTAACTTGTAACTTTATTTAATATCATTATCAACTACTATGGTTTAATATAATATAGATAAATATATAATTTATTTAATCATAAAATAATATTATTTTTTTTTGAAATATTGCTCAAAAATTTTAAATTATTTAAATTTGTGAATAATATTTTTAAGTATTGTATATTTACTTTATTTTATTTTCTACACTTATGATTTATAAATATCCTCACATTATGTCTAATTTATTTTTATTATTCAATATTTTTAATCTATTGGAAACAACGTCTCTACCTTCATTAGGTAGGGGTGAGGTCTGCGTACAGACTACCCTCCCCATATCCCACCTGTTGGGAATATACTGTGTATGTTGTTGTTGTAATATTTCTAGTTTTTAATTTTATCTATTAGACTTAAGTTACGTGGACTTATCCATATTATGACCTTTCTTATCATAATATAAAAAACTTTCTCATCTCAAATTTATTTTAGGTTTTACTCTTTTTTCTATGATAAAAATTTGAATTGTTATTTTTCTCTATTTATTCTTTATTTTTGCTATTATATTATTCAATACCTAATATTATTACATTGTCATGTGGCTTTTCATTAGCTTGTTTGAATTTAATATCTATTTCTACCAGAATACCAGACTCATTCTAATATAATATAGATAAAAATTAAAAATTATTTCAATAGTAACTTTGACTTTATTATTCATATTCCAAAATATGATTTTTCTTATCATATTTAAAAAAAAACTCATCTCAAATTAAGATAATTCTTATCATTCTATTTTCTAAATTGGAGCGCATTTTCAAAAAATTATGTTATGCTTTCAAACTTAAACTAACTGCACTCAATTCAGATATAAAGCATAGAAAAATATTTTCTTAATTGTTTGAACACATTATATCTAAATGTTGTTGTAATATTTACGTATAAAATATTCGTTTGTCCGATTTATAAATATTAATATGACATTATTATTTTTGTTATTAAAATATTTTTTACTTACTATTTAGTTTATTTTTTACCTTATAAATAATTTGTATATTTTATGTAAGATCTTATTTTGGTGCTTGAATTTTTTTATTTCTTAAAGTCAATAAATCTTTAATATCTTAAGTAAATTTTTATTTTATTTTTATATTTTAACTTACTCTAAAGTATAAATAGTCATAGATTATCTCAATTTACATCTTTCTATATTTTTTTTTATCTTTTTCTATTACAGTTTTTTTAATTAATTTTGTACCTCCATATTTCTAGCTAATGTAGAATAAAATCTATGAGTGGATATATACACCTCGTCCCGTCCCGCACCCGCCCTATTGCTATCCCTTACTAGTAGTGGGGATAAATTCAAAAATAGCCAGATTTACAAGTGCTAATTGAAAAATAGCCACAGTTTTAAAAGTGATCGAAATCTAGTCACTTTTCATGTAAAGATAAATTTGAACGAAAACACTGTTCAAAATCCGAAAAATATTCTAGCATATTATATTGGAGTTCCAGTACAATATACCGGTCCAGCATAATATGCTGGAAGTTCATACACAAGTGCTCCAATTTTCAGTATATTATGCTGGAACTTTTCGCGTGTTGGAGTTCCAGCATATTAAAGTTCATACACAGGTGCACCAATCTCCAGTATATTATGCTGGACCGGTCCGTGTTGTAGTAAAATAGTGGCTATTTTTCAATGACTTTGTAAATGCTGAATATTTTTAAATTACCAGTCCAAAAACTGGCTAGTCAGTGCTATTTTTACTTACTAGTGGCCGAAGGGATCCATAGAGGATCTCCAATGGAGTTGATACAAGCTAGCCCACTAGTCCAAGGACAAGGAGATGGGCCAGCTATCTCGGCCCACTTTTAATTCTCATGTACTCCTTGAATTGTTTCTAGGGGAATGGACACAAATGCACCACCGGCACAAATTAATGACCCGACGTACTCCTAAAACTGCTATTTACTCGCCTTGCACCCATAAAGTAGTGTCCTACTAGAATTACTAATTTTTATTGTCTCAAAGCTCTCATCACTTCCACAATATTTTTTTATATTAAATTCCACATGAAGAGAATAGATTTTAACTTCAAAATTTAAATCATTATTATCCAGCAGTAAATAATATTGAATAACTTTTAGCAAAGCAAAACTAAATTCCAGAAACTAAATAATTTTGGTGACTGAACTGAAATAAGAAATACATTAGCATCTTCTTCGATTTTTTTGGCTGAAGATTTCGATTCGAACTAGATCAAGATAGACCCAATCGACCCTACGCTTTAGAATTCAGCTTCACCCAAGTAGTATATCAAAGATAAACAACACCCACTCAATTTTGAGTTAAACAAAACTTGAATCATGCTATTCTCAATATTTTTGGTATATTACACACATGGTATACTATGATTAGTGTTGAATCACGATATACTTTGTTTGAGTATCTTCAATGATATACTCAATATTCTTGGCATAATAGATATTGGTATACCATGATTCAACAATCACGGTATTCCTAGTATTCGTGGTATACTCTATTTATGACAAATGGTATTTTTAATATTCTTGATATACTACACATTGGTATACCATGATTAGTGTGGAATCATGGTATACTTTATTTGATTATGTTAATTAGTATACCAAATATCCTTGATATACTATATATTGGTATACTATGATTAGTATTACATTATGGTATTCCCAATATTCTTTGTTATACTGTACATTGGTATACCATGATTTAGTGTTAAATCATGGTATACTTTATTAGAATATGTTAACTGGTATACACAATATTCTTGATACACTATATATTGGTCACTCTTAATAGAATTGAACTTAGATTTCAATTATGTCACGCTTAATATTCTTAGTAAACTATATATTGGTATACCATAATTAGCATAGTATACCAAATTTTAGGATTCACCAATTTAACTAGAAAGGACAAAAAAGTAAAAAAGAGTGATAACTTTTTTATTTTAAAAAAAACCTCAATTTCTTTAAGAATTGTAAAAAAATTCATCTACAAATATAATACAAAAAAATCAAAAATGGTGACACTGTAACTATCGATAACTATAATCGATTAATAATTGTGTTGAAAGTAATCCAATTTTAATTTTAAGACTATGTTATTTATCTAGAAAGAACAAAAACAAAAATATAAGTGAAATAAAGTGATAAAAATATTAACGGAGAAATTTTATTGAAAAAACAAATAGAAAAAACTAATATAAAAAATAATAATTATAAGAGAAAAAAAGTGAAGATGTTTTTAACGAACATATTTTAATTTGAAAATAAAATCTTAAATTTCTTAGAAAACTACAAAAAAAATTTATCTACAAATATTAAATAAAAAATAAAAAAAATAAAAAAAGAGTAACATGGTAACTCTCGGTAATCATAATTGATTACTGATTGTATAGAAAGTATCCCAATAAATTTTAAGACTCGGTTATTTACTTAAAAATAAAAATAAAAATAAAAGTGAAAGAAAGTGATAATAGTTTTTGGCGGAAGAATTTTACTGAAAAATAACAGAAAAAATTAAAATGAAAAATAACAATAAAAAAAAAGTGAAAAAATATTTTGGATGGATATATTTTAGTGGAAAGAATAAAACAAAAAAAGATACACCAAAAAATAAAAAATCAAGATAAAAAATAAAGTAGAAAAGAGTGAGGAGGTTACTACTAGAAATAATAAAAATAGAATAAAAATTAAAAAGAGAAAATAACTACAAAAACATTAAGAAAAAATGAATACGATTTCATAAATTTATTAGAAAGAAAAAAAAATAAAGTGAAAAAAATAACAACAAAATATAAAAAATAAAATAAAAAATATGAAAAAAAAAAACAAGGAGAATCCTTTGGTGAAGCCTAGGCATATAAAGGAAGGGGCATCCTGGTCCTAAAGTCTTCAAAAGGGGCATATTTTATATTTTTTTAAGGGGAGCATTTTGGTCATTAAGTCTTTAAAAGAAGCTTTTAAGTGTCATTTTTTCTTGTTTCTAAGCTTATATAAAATAAAAACACCCTTCTATTCCAATGATTTTAGTTGATGTTGGCAGTTCTAAAATTTAAAATCAAATTATTCTTAATGCATCATAAATAATGCTTTAATCCTAGTCTGATAAGGGGTCATTTAATATTTCGTATTTATATTCAATGGTTAGGAGTGCACCTGTTGTCTTATATGTTATTCTTTCTTTCCCGTTGAATATGTAAAAGAACATGAAAAATAGTTTAGCAGTATGTAAATTATGTTCTTGCTAGATCCTTTGCCTTACATTTTTTTTTATTATGAGCATCGCGCTCAAAATGAGTACTCTTGTTGTTCTAATTTATATTGTAAAATCTCATTTTTGATGTTTCAGAAATGATATGACAACATTCCGTTGATACTAATATTCTCGACTCAACTGTTACAATTTTTAAAAAATCTAAATACGTATATTTAAAACTTTGTAAAATGGAATAACAGGGACATTTTAAAAGACAGCTAGATTATCCACGTGTATAAAAGTAGTGTAATGCACCCTGTGTTGGGTCAAAATCATCGTGCCCGCCGCGCCTTCTAAGACAACAGTCCCATATTCCATTTTCTTTAATTTGAAGATTTCAACGTTTTGAATCTTCTTGGCAGTTGTCACGTTTTCACTGGATCATCGTACAAAAATAATCCTATTTTGAGAGAGAGAGAGAGAGAGAAAACAAAGAATGGAGGAAAAATGAAGAGAGATAATAGGAGAAGAGACGAGCATAGCACGCATCTTACAATACATTGACAACAACATACCCCTAAATCAACCCCCACAATTGTTAATTTTCTAATATTCAGAGACAAGTACCCATTTTTTTACCTTCATTCTTAAGCCTTCCCTTAATTCAATCCCTTTTTCCTAATCATATCCATTTTTTTTCTACTTATACGCATACCTTTTTCTTAATTGTCAGAGGAAAGTGGGTGGTTGAGTGTATGTTTCTGATCTTTTTTGGATTAGGTTCATGTCAGAGTTTTGTTATTATTGGTAGAAAATTAGATAGAGGGAATTAATTTTGTGAAAGAGGAGAATGGAGGGGATGATGGAAAAGGGAGTATTGGATGATATAATAAGGAGGTTATTGGAAGAGAAGGGAGGGAAGCAAGTTCAGCTCTCTGAGGCTGAGATCCGCCAGCTTTGTGTCAATGCTCGCCAGATTTTCCTCTCTCAGCCTAATCTCCTCCAGCTTCGTGCCCCCATTAGGATCTGTGGTACATTTCTCTGATTTTTTGCTTTTTCTCTTTGTAAATTTTTGTCTTTTGTTTTTATGTTTTTTTCATGTATCATGATTTACGGATGTATAGATGGTGAATTGTATGTATATCTTAAATGTTGAACATTATAATTAAGGGCCAGCTTATTATCTTCCATCAGCACAGTCATGAGAAATGTTGGAACACTTTTCAGCATGCAGAATAAGTGGAAGGGTCTTTTTATTTGTGATTGGCATCNTGAAAAGATCCTTTGCATGCATGGGGGAATTTCTCCAGAGCTAAAGAGTTTGGACCAAATAAATGAAATTCAGCGGCCGGCTGAGATTCCAGACGGTGGCTTGCTGTGTGATCTGTTGTGGGCTGATCCTGACCCTAGAATTAAGGGTTGGTCGGAGAGTGATCGAGGTGTTTCTTGTACTTTTGGACCTGATGTAGTTGCCGAGTTTTTGGCTAAGAATGAGTTAGACCTCATCTGTCGGGGTCATCAGGTATACCATATTCTGGATAGTCAAAAAATAAAACTTAATTAACTCGCTGCTAAACTTTGAAAACTCTAAACACCTACTTTTAGCCTTGTATTCTTGAAAGCAAAGCTTATTTACAGGCAGGTGAATGCTATCCAGGCATTTCTTGTGTCCACTTCTTAAAAATTCCCATGATAGGAATTTTCATATCTTTCTCTAGGAAAATGTGTTTTCTACAAAAACAATTTAGCAAAGTATTTATCGAGATTATGACATGCATAGCTCTGGTATAGTTCTTTTTTTCTTTACAAATATTTTGGGGCAATTTTGAACGAAAGTTGTTGTCGAAGCACTTCAATTATGATATTCTTGCAGTAGTTGTTGGCTTGCTTCTAAGCCATCAGCATTTCAGTTTCCTCAAGTTTTATATTTGTCCCGAATGTATTCTGATTCTAAAGTTTTGTCGTAGGTGGTGGAGGATGGATATGAATTCTTTGCGAAGCGAAGACTTGTGACTCTATTTTCTGCTCCCAATTATGGTGGAGAATTTGATAATGCAGGTGCCTTATTAAGCGTTGATGAGCAACTTGTATGTTCTTTTGAAATATTGAAACCGATATTATCTAGCGGTTCAAAGTTGCCCCTAAAGAAGGTATGATATTCTTGTTTATATTTTCTCAAGTTATTATCGTGATTTTGACATGAAAGAGTTCTTACAAGTCATGGTAAGTTTTTGAAATGAAGACTACAAAGACATCTTACAATTGTGTTTTTCATTTGAACAGCCACCAAAGGTTGGAGGGATGTGATACAATAGAAAGTGTAATGGAGATTTATCCAGTATATAGCGAAGAATGACAAGCACTACACTTTATATTTTGTTATTGACACAAGCCATCATATTTCCAATACCTTTTTGGCTTTGGAACTACTATGGATAGGCCATGAGTATATTACTACTGAAGGAAAAAAGAATTCTGTAAATCGGCAACATAACTTATCTTCAGAAGATCTAAGATGTTTCAGTTGTTTACTTTAGACACATTTTGTTTCCTTCCTGTATTTACTAGCACTCAGATTTGACACTTCTTAATTGAGGATGAGTTGCTTTATCATCCAATAGTTTACAAATTCTGTAATGTTACAGTTTATTAATCTTTTCTTTTAATGATAACATAACCATTTTATAACTGTAACTATAACTTGATGGTGAGAATGGTATATAAAAAGCCAGTGGAAATGTTACAAACCCATTCCCCTCTCCTGTTCATGCCTCTCTTTGTGCAATAAGTAAAGAAGCTGAATGGGACAATGGTTTCCTAAATGTTGTAAGTTGCAACAATGCAGCAGTTGCTACTAAGCTCTTTTCAAACTCCTGATCTTCTGTGGAAGTCGAATTCCTTTGGTCCATAAAGTATAGTATTTTGGGAAATACTTGTTCGGCCACCAGTATCAAATATTGAACTACAGTAATTGAAATCCTGGTAAAATATAGTAGAACTTGTTTGAGGCATATTTCAAGGGAACAATGGACACGACTCTACTTTTTTTCAAGTGAAATTCATGTTTGATTCTATATACTTCTTTTGCAACTTCAATTTTTGAATACTCGCTAAACAGTTCTTTTTAAGGTATTGGAATTGCGACCTAATAGTTACAGAATAGTGTAGTCAAAATAGGCCAAGTCGATAACCTTTTCTTCCTCTCTTGGTAGAAGGGCAGACTCAAGTTAACAGACAGACCGGATTCTTGTTTGGTTGATATGTCCGTCTATTCATGCTATAAAGATATGTTGGCCAAAAAGCCAACTGGTACGACGAACGGTTTTAAACATATCAAAAGCCTTTCCAACTATTCAAGGGTTCATTCTTCATTCAAATATGATTTTAAAAGTTTTTTTTGTATCAAAAATTTAGAAAAGAAAAACATCGTAAACGATCCCCAAGATCTGTTGCGGGCAGGAAGAATTAGATCCACGTAAAATGAGGTGGTTATTCTATCAGGGGTTTATATCAGATTCTATAAATCCCTGCCTTCCCATCTAAAGCACAACAAAGTAAAACAGCATTGGCATAACTTGGAAAAGCTTGCCTAAGTGTAAATTAAGCACCATAACTGAGATTTTCTACTTCTTTTGCAATCTGATTCGGGTGTCTACACTCTTCAATAGAACCTACTTGAAGCTATCACAAGGGAACTAAAATAGCTATATGTTCCATCTGCCTCCATGTTATCAAACTTGACTTCGATTCTTTTCAATCTAGTGTACTTGCCCCACCCCCCTTCTTCCCATCCCACTCCAGAGATTAGGGAAGAAAAGAAAAGGACCAACATGATTTCCGTGAAGAGCACCATATGTAGAACGATAAAAGACAAAGGGGGGGAGGCAGAGACATTAGAGTTGCACCAAACTTTCTTCACTGGTTTACGCTTGAAGTGCAATAACAAGTAAACCTGTACTCATCGTTAACTTTGTCTGGGAACACAGCAACAAGATGAAATTCCTTTCAAGTAAGGAGATATTCATCTTTAACTACCCTTTTCGCTCCCTTGACTTGTAGGAGATCTCGGATTCACATTTCCTCCCAATCTCCTGGCCGTGCGTTGGAGGGCTGCTAGTTTCTGGCGTTGCCTATGGCTTTTCCTTTGACTGCGTAGTAAAAGTAATTTTACAGTGATGAAGTATGATATAATTAAGCATGCAGACATTATCAACTTTCAAATACATTGATGATCACTCTAATGGACTAAGAATCAGTCCACATGATTATACGCTGGAACTTAGAAAGTAACAACTCACATTCTAAGACACATGCCACACCAGAGAGAGTTCATGAAACTTCAAATAAGATTCTCTTTATTTTATAATTACTAAAAAAGAGTGGCCTCGCCTGGTAAATAGAAGTCCTGCTGTAAGAACCATGCCTCCTACTGCCCAAGATATTCTCTCTTTAAATGTCATGTCCTCTACCCATTGTTTGAAATCTTCAACAAATCCAGAACTGTCCGTTTTCTCTTGCACCTTGGATTGTGAAGCCCTCCACGAATCAGCAATAAAATCCACACTAGACTTTCCGCCATAGCAAGAAACTTCTTCTGGATCATCAGACAAAGACTTCACAGAAAAACCTGCAACGCGGCAGAGCTCTGTCCCGTTAGAGATCCATTGGGATGCTCTACCACAAACAAAGTCGTTTACACCACAGGGTGCTAGAACCTGACATGTAACTTCTAATCAGATGCGAGATATGTCAATAACTGAGGCAGTACAAACATGATGAGAAAGTAATTGATGCTGTTGGCATTGAGCTCAATCAAAGGGGCCAAAAGCATCTTCATTGAGACACAGCCTGTATGATCCAAACTACAAATCATAACATCCAATGCAAGCTTCTTGTTTCGTGAATTTTGATACACCATTGCTGAATAACTCATCTGAAAAATCTGTTAACAAACTGAAGCTCAAACAAACCTGTGTCTTAGCATCCATGGAGAAGTACGCATTGGAGCAAGCTTGGTATACTTTGTTACAGAAAGAGGTGCATAAAACAGGGGGTCCTGCCTGCACACCAACACGTGGATCACAGATTGAACATTCTAACATTTCCCATAAGTGCAAGCACTCTTGGCTTGCCTCTCCAGTTGAAGCAAGCTTCCTAATGGATAACAAAGCAGGATGCGTCTGCGTTACATCGCAGCAAGTTTTTCCGCGAAATATCCTGCAGAGGTTCAACTCTCTTGGGCCCTTTTTTACTTTTCTTGGAGGTTTTCCTTCATTTGAAAATCGAGGAAAGCGACCACCAGGTGAAATGCAAACTCCATTATCTTTACCTGTATTTAAATGATTGGGTGACTCATTATTAGAAAAGTAGATGTTAGACCATAATGCCTTGAGCACTCCATTATCAAAGAAATTATTATCTTTTCACGAATCTACAATCAATCAAAATTTTGACAATATCCCTACACAACTATGCTTCAATCTCAAGCTAATTGGGGCCGGCTATACAAATCCTCATTATTCATCATCTCGCTCCATCTAGACCTGTCTCAATCCAATATTCAATAACTTAGACTTTCTACATGTGCTATAGACACATAAACTCTAAAAAGATAAAAAGACTCCTAGCGAGCATCTGCTTTAAAGTAAGTATTTTTTTAAACTTAATTCAAATTAATTGGTATCGCTATATGAATCTTTTTCTTTGATTGTGCCCTATTTCTTGCTAAGTCTGCATGGGTTCCAAAGGAGTCACCTATGAAACTTAACAGAGCATATTTTCAACAAGGTCCAAATATTCTTCTAGCCCATAGCCACAAAATGCTGCCTAGACAAAATATATCATCAATTCATAAATGTATAGAAGAGTTCAGAGAAAAATTAACAAATTATGCATGCTTTTCTCCTATGTTATAGCGAATAGTCTCATAAGGAAGTTTCTACGACAATTGACTTTTATGGTCAAAGAATGTTCTCATATCTGGATAAGGAAATGAGCAACTTCATATCTAGGTAAGGAAAGGAGTAACACTTCAAGAGTCTTAGAGTCCTTTTCTTTTGTGTCCTCATTGAGATCTTTGAGTCCTTAATAAACATAATGGAAAATACCCAAACATTGGAAAGTCTTAGAGTCTTAGAGTCAATTTGTCAAACGTACTATCAACCAAATTTTACTGCACTCAGCCCCAAAAAGTCCAGCACTTTCCAAAATGTGCAATCAACAATAAAGCCCTTAGAGCTGGCTGCAGGCATAAAAAAAGGCGGTGCATTTATGACTGTGTGTGATATATTTGCTCTTCAGGCTAGTCCAGTATTAACAATTTTCGTAGAAATCTCTTGGTAAACTGGAATTTAGAAGGTGAAGTAAAGAATAAAGCGAGTAGTGTTATAAGCATCATCCAGGTGAAAATAAAGAACCACTTTGGAAGCTAAAAAGCAGTTTTTGATCTTTCAGCATATTAACGCCCATGCTCACCCACTCCCTTTTCCCAAACCAAATGAAGTTCTGGCAACTTACATAACCCACTAGTGCTTCTTTCTTTCCCAGGACAGCCAAATTGCAGCACTTGTATTAGATAAGTTAGGTGATGCTGATATGTTTAGCCTCAAATTCCTGCCCAAAAAACCTCATTATTATCCATAATACAAGATGTGTGGGCATCTCTTAACATGCACATATACTTTTGGCATCCATTCCGACAAAAGGTCTTGAATGTTTCCTTTGCAAAGCTAAGCACTGTCTGTATTGATGCTTCTATAACAAGCGTCTTACCTAGAAACAGGACATGTGATTCATATTTCACCTAAATTCCCACTTAAAAGCAATCCAGTTAGCTGAAAATATAACTTCTAACTCGTAGAATGCGTTCGCAACCCCTCTTCTCTCTTCCCCCNTGACCCCATATGGTGGGAAATTACCCCTCTATGTGATGCACTTATCAGGTTTTTACACGACCTCTTTGACGCCAATAATGAATATCACATGATCTAGGACCACGATAACCACCACAAAACAATTCCAAACACTAGGCACTTCTTTTTAATTTACTAATAATCATATGAATTGCAGCTAAAGCTTGAATCTTGTGAGTTTGGTGGGTTTTGTAGATCACTCTACTGGTATGTCAGATGAGAAAAGAATTTACTAAGTTAACATTCTGATTTGTTTGCAAGGGTGAAAATTAATGTTCAGACATTTCACTTATTTGACTAACATACTCACATACTAAATCAAATCAAGCTCACACAGTTAACTATAGATTGAATTTGAGCAAGATACACTATGGGAGGCTCATTCAAGCTTGAGCCCCATATTCCAAAGTTCAGTTCTTGCGCCATGGCACTTATTAGAGGTGTACTATGAACAGCTCAACATGTAAATCCCAAGTAAACACTAAAAATACTAGAAAGATGAACAACAAAAAAGGAAAAAAAGAGTTTCTTTTGGAAAGAAAAGAGAAGCATTTAATATTTCACTTCATTGAAAAGAAAAAACATTTATCCTAGCACGAAATACTTGTTAAGAGTAAATCAGTGACTCATGGGGGCAAAATAAAAGGAGGAATCAGTGATAAGAGCGTCAAGATCAGGGGCGGAGCTACCCTTGTCCCCGGAGGAGCCAATTGACACATCTTAGCCGAAAAAATTGTATATATGCAATATGAATTCCCTTGGCTTTTTTGTGTGACTACTTTATATTTTGAATTTCCTTAGTGGAAATGCTGACTTCGCCACTTGTCAAAATCTTCTCTTCGAGAAACATTCGCACTCTACACTCTACTCAGCTAATACAATTACTGACTGATCCACCGCCTTAAATCGGAAGTAAATATATCCAAAATTTTACTAGGTTATCAAATGATTCCCAACCCGATATAGCACAATCGGCAAATTAACTGCCTAATTGCTACAAATTCAGATTTCCTTACCACAATCATTCATTAATGCCAGGTTTCCTTAGCTAGTAGATAACATTAAGTCAACCAAATAATCTGAACAAGATTTAAATTTAAAAAGGGGGTATATTAAAGGATTTTACAAAAGTTGATCAAGAAGGGGCTTGTTTGCACCTAGGGCTAGACTTGATGCTTGTGAACGAGCTATAAAGAGTAGAGATGGTACCTGAGACATACGGTAGCTGAAGGTAAACGGAGGTTGTGAGCAGCAGCATCAACGAGAAACGCAATTTCAATTCCATCCTTCATTGTACTTGTCTTCTCACTTCGCCAGTTTTTCCTGTTAAACAACCGCTTTCTTCCTTCCTATTTTCAATTAATCTTTTCCTTTTTATTTTTTGGTTTTATTATTATTATTATTATTATTATTGTTATTATTATTACTATTATTAATTTAGTTTAAGTTAACAAACAACAAAAAATATTTCAACAGTCAAGTTATTTATAACTTAATTACCGATAAGTCTTTATAATAAAATGATAAGTATGTATTTTATTAACTTACGAATAATAATAACTAATTTGTTATCATATGTTAAACTATAGGTACACCATCATTAAAAAAAATTGACAGTCTTTTTCAGTTGTATTTGTTTTAATCGAAAAATGTAGGAGTATTAAGTAAGAGAAAGAACTGCAATAAGTGTATAAAGAAATTTTTGTTATGAAATATAAGCAATTTAGTAAAACATGAATAAGAAATGGAGATATAGAGAAGAAAGAGATTTTCTTCTTCAATTGTGTGTATTTTTCTATCTATTACAAGGCCTTTATATAGGCATGAAAAGTGAAGAAAAATATGCCATTGAATATATTATTAAGCATTTGAGATGAAGATCATCGAGGAAGAGTATCCACCATAATTTAATTTTTCTTATAACACTCCACCTTGGATGTCCATAGATAATGTGACTCGTTAAAATCTTATTAGTCCTAGTGGAGGAAAAAGAGTACACGTGTTCATAAATACGCCTTTTGATTGCCTCGTTAAAAACCTTCGAGGAAAACCCAGTGGGACAAAACCTTATAAGGAAAAAAGAGTACAACGTGTATTAACTCCCCTGATGAGAGCATCAATTCACATCCTTGAGCCTTTGCATCCCAATCTTGTACACTAGTTTCTTGAAGGTTGACGTCGGTAGAGATTTGGTGAACAAATCAGTCATATTATTACTTGAACGAATCTGTTGCACATTGTTATCACCATTCTTTTGAAGATCATATGTGAAAAATAACTTTAGTAAAATATGCTTTGTCCTATCTCCTTTTATGAATCCTCCATTCAATTGGGCTATGAATGTTGCATTGTCTTCATACAAAATTGTGGGTAGTTTGTCACACTTCAAATCACATTTGTCTCTAATAAGATGTATTATAGACCTCAACCATACACATTCTCGACTTGCTTCATGAATAGCAATTATCTCAGCATGATTAGATGAAGTAGCCACGATTGATTGCTTAGTCGATCGCCAAGATATGACAGTGCCTCCACATATAAACACATAGCCTGTTTGAGATCGAGTCTTGTATGGGTCAGATAAATACCTAGCATCGGCATAACCAACAAGATCGGGACTGCAATCATTGCCATAAAATAATCCCATATCGATAGTTCCTTTTAGATATCGCAATATGTGTTTGATTCCACTCCAATGTCTCCTTATATGAGCAGAGCTATATCTTGCTAAGACATTAACTAAAAAAGTTATGCCAGGCCTTGTAGTGTTAGCAAGATACATTGGTGCACCAATTGCACTAAGATATGGTATTTCAGGACCAAGAATCTCTTCATTCTTTTCTTGAGGTCAGAACAGGTACTTATTCACATCAAGTGATCAAACAATCATCGGAGTACTTAATGGATGTGCTCCATCCATATAAAACTATTTTAATACCTTTTCTATCTAGGTAGATTGATGAACAAAAGTCCTGTTTGCCAAATGTTCAATTTGCAAACCAAGACATAACTTTGTCTTTCCGAGATCTTTCATCTCGAATTCCTTTTTTAAATAATCAATTGTCTTTTGGAGTTCTGTAAGAGTTCCAATAAGGTTTATGTCATCAACATATACAGCAAGTACAACAAACTTTGATGTTATTTTCTTTATAAAAACACATAGACAAATGGCATCATTTATATAACATTCCTTTAATAAATACTCATTAAGGCGATTATACCACATTCTTTCTGATTACTTTAGACCATACAAAGATCTTTACAATTTGATTTAAAATATTTCCCAGGACTTTGAATTATGTGCGTCAGGCATTTTAAATCCCTCGGAAATTTTCATGTATATCTCATTATCAAATAAGTCGTAAAGGTAGGTTGTAATCACATCCATTAAATGCATGTCAAGTTTTTTATGGACAACAAAACTAATGAGATAACGGAACGTTATAGCATCCATAACAGGAGAATACGTCTTTTCAAAATTGATACCAGGCCTTTGTGAAAATCCTTGCGCAACAAGGCGTGCCTTGTATCTTTGTACCTATAAAGACCCATTTATAGCCAACACACTTAACAGTATTATGTGTTTGGACTACATACCCAAAAACTTCACGTTTCGCAAGTGAAGTTAATTCTGCCTGGATAGCGTCTTTCTATTTTGGCCAATCATTTCTCCGTCTACATTCATCGACATATTTTGGTTCAAGATCCTCATTTTGTTGCATTATTTCAATAGCATTATAAGCAAAAACGCTATCAATAACAATATTATCTTGGTTCCATCTTTTTTCTTTTGAGACATAACTTATTGAAATCTCTCTATTCTCATCATTTTCAGGTACCTGAACCTCCCTTGAGGTTTTATCATTTATTATGTCTTTGTGCTCTTCTTGAGTCACTACCTCCGTATTATGATCACTTTGATCATTTGCTCCTTTTCTTTTTTGAGGATTTTTATCCTAAGAACCGATTGGTGTATCACGTTTCAATAGTGGTTTAAACTCATTTGCTTTAATTGATTGTCCTACCGGGATATCAACTCGAATTGGAGCATTAGCAGCTGGAATATGTGACTTAGTCACCCTTGGTAGGTTAGTGAATGTATCTGGCAGTTGATTTATAATATTTTACAAATGAATTATCTTTTGAACCTCTTGTTCACATTGATTTGTTTGAGGATTTAAATGAGATAGTGATAATACATTCCAATCTATCTCTTTTCTCAGTTGCTTATTTTTTCCCCCTAATGTAGGGTATAATGATTCATCAAAATGACAATCAGAAAATCTTACCGTAAATAAATCTCCAGTCATAGGCTCCAGATATTTTATAATAGAAGGAGATTCATACCCAACATATATCCCTAACCTTGTTTTGGGGACTCATCTTTATGCGTTGTGGTGAAGCAACTGGAACATATACCGTGCAACCAAAGATTCTAAAATGGGAAATATCTGGCTCCTCACCAAAAGCCAATTGCAATGGGGAGAATTTATGATAACTTGTGGGCCTTATCCGCACAAATGTTGCTGCATGCAAAATAGCATGACCTCATACTGAAATGAGGAGTTTTGTTCTCATAAGCATTGGTATAGCAATTAATTGGAGGCGTTTGATCAATGATTCCGCCAGACCATTTTGTGTATGAACATGAGCAACCAGATGCTCAATTGTTATCCCAGTTGATATACAATAATCAGTAAAGGCCTGAGATGTAAACTCACCAGCATTATCAAGACGGATTGTCTTAATTGTATAATCTGGAAATTGTGCTCTTAGTTTATTATTTGAGCCAATAATCTCGCAAATGCCATATTGCTAGTTGATAATAAGCACACATGTGACCATCTTGTAGATACATCTATCAAAACTATATAATATATGAATGGTCCACATGGAGGGTGAATGGGCCCATATATATCACCCTGTATATGTTTCAGAAATATAGGGGATTCCATCCTAACTTTAATAGTTGATGGTCTAATAATTAATTTGCCTTGAGAACATGCAGCATAAGAGAAATCCTTAAATTGAAGAATCTTTTGGTTCTTCATTGAATGTCCATGTGAATTCTCAATTATTTTACGCATCAAAGTAGAACCAGGATGACCCAACCGGTCATGCCAAATAATAAAATTATCTTGATTAGTAAACTTTTCATTTACTAGGGCATGCGTTTCAATCCTGCTAATACTTGTGTAATATAAGCCGGAGGAAAGAGCGGGTAACATTTCAAGCACATATTTCTTACCCGACTTTATTGTAGTAATATAAAGATATTCAATCTTTTCATTATTTGTAGTCTGAATGTGATATCCATTTTGACGAATATCTTTAAAACTTAGTAAATTCTTTGAGACTTACTACAATATAATGCTTCATTAATAGCCAAATTTGTTCCTCTGAATAGTAATAAATTTGCTCTTCCTGAGCCTTCAATTAGTTTTGTACTACCAGATATTGTATTAACATTGACTTCTTTCATCACCAAATAAGAGAAATATCTCGTATCTCTTAAAATAGTATGTATTGTAGCACTATCCAAAAGACATATATCATCTTTATTGATCTTGGATCTAACTGAAGACTGGGTAATTTTTATATTCTTCATAAATAAACAAAAAATACATCATAAGAAATACGAAAGACTAGAAATAAAAGAAACATTAGAAATTACACGAGGAATGTTAAAACTAGCATATATGATGATTTAGGAAAGTACACTAAGAAGAACAAACTACATAAAGACATAATATGAAAATAACAACTTTTCTTAAAGCTTTATTCCCCAGTAAGATAATCACTTCTTCGGTCAATATCCTCAAAGAAGTCTCCATCTCCTAAATGAGTATTATTTGTAAGGCCTCCAAAATCATCATCTTTATATGCAAGATTTGCCTCAGCATCATCATATTTGTTTGAGCGTCCTGATTTATCATCATTATTTTGAAAAGTCAAGTGTGCCTCCACATTGTTATCTTTTCTTTTATTGGATGTTTGATAAAGTTTGACAAAATGGTCAGGTGTACGACAAACACGTGCCCAATGACCTTTCATACCACACCTGTGACAAATATTAACTCTGCCTTGTAAAGGATTATTTTGAGGATCCTTATTGTTCTCTTGTTTATTTTCACTATGATGGCGATAATTATTTCGTCCCTCTCCATGTCCATGTCCATGTCCACGTCCAGGACTATGGCCACGGCCACGACCACGATAATGATTTTGTCTTCTTTCAGACTTTTGAGTAGCTGCTATCATATTCACTTCGGAAAATGGTGCAGATCCCGAGGGACGTGCTTCATAATTTTTCATTAAAAGGGTATTATGTTG